TGCCCTTCATTCAACTTCCATTTTCCTCATGCGCTACTTAAAGAGGCATACCCGCTGTCACGCCCCCTTCTACGCCTACTCGTGCACGCACACACACACACCCACACACACCCACACACAAATCATGCCACATATCAATCAGTCAATCAAACATTTTGACAAAATCAAGCCACCAGCAACCTCTTCACATCGAAACGAGTGTCCCACAAAAAAAGCAAGGAAAGCTGACTAAGCATTTCGCCCGCTCAATACAACGGAAAAGTATGCTACGCTTTTGACATTTTCCATCAGCCCACTAACAATTTCGATTGTTGTTGTACAACAACAACACTCTCCGAATCTTATATGTAGTTGACAAGTCTTACTTATTTAGATCCTAGCAAGTACATCGAACCGGAAAAGCCGGAAAGCCGGAAACTTTGTGTGCGCTCAAGGACGACCCCGATGTAGAGACCGGGCGTGTGATTTTGGGCATTTAATTGAAGCTAATTGTTTATTATTAGATCAATTGCTGGTTGAAGCAACAATGTTGCTGGCATTGGGTGAAGAAAACTAAAACATAAACAAATATGTTGTTTAGGGAACTCGGCAGCAAAGGAACATTTTGTAATTGTAATAATTAATCATAAGAAAAAATTAAGCAATACACCTCCTTTTATTATACAGTATTCCAATAAACGAATTATGTAACTAAAATGTGAATAATTAACAATTTAAAATGTGAGAAACAAATCGGTGAGCGACTATATCAAAGGGAAGACAAAGACTAGAAACTTGAGCTCTTTATTTATATTTTCTGCTCTTCTGGTATATGGCCTGACTAATTATAATGTACATACTCGTATTTAGGACTACACAAAAGTGTTATCCTTTGAAAACCTGTCGTCGTATCTACGTAGCGTTTTCACAAATCAGATATAGTTTTCTAATAGATTTTATTTGCCCAGAAAATAGCGGCCTTCCCATATAATACCTTCAATAAGTGTTGAACCTCAACTTTATTGGCTCAAACAATTTACAGCCAAAGAATCAAGAATAAATAAAATAATTAACTATTAATGGTAGCAGTTTCCACCATTTGCCAATTTATGTCTTAATCGGTACATTACAAGAAAGGAATTTACTTTCTTCCAGTATCTAATAATATTATTTTAATTTAATAATTTAATAAATGTACATTCTATATAATATCTCAAGATTTAAGCATTAATATTCAGTTTCTTTTGAACAGAGCTGCAATAAAGGCCAATTATTTGTCTAGCTACTTGTTATTAGATCTGGGAAATGTGTATAGTCGTTTAGGATAGTGAATAAAAGCTTTAATGTTTAATGTTTTTCAATATATTTGTTCATAATACAAAATATGAAGAGCCTTAGAATAGTGGAACTTGCACCATTTTTAATTTTACTTTTGAATAAAAATATTCAAAAATTTAGTCCTATTTAATTAAACGATTCTGGAAATGTAATTATTATTATAATACAACTACTTACTATAAAATTCTGTTTGTTTATAATAAAAAAGAATATAGGTAAACAGAAGCAAAATTAAGACCTAGGCACTAAAAAGCACATTCTCTGATGTTTTCAATTCGTTTTCTATTATTTATTTATGGAGGGAAGTGCCAGCAGAGTTGTGTCGAGTTGGAGCTGCCTTTTATCTTTTACAAAAATATCCATAAAACAAACTAAACTATGAACTCAAAGTTTGTCAAATTCGTAATGCTTTTTATACTTATTAGCTCCTTTTTCATTTTTTGCATAACAATCGTTATCCGATTATGATGAACGGCATTATTTACACCAAATAGTGTATTTTTCTTTAAATATATAACTACATATAGTATGTGTAGAGAAATGGATTATATGTAAAGTCTAAATAGATAACTATATATCCAATTGAGCTACACACTTTATATATCGCAGTTTTAGATGAACCTTTAAAACTCTTTTCCCTTTTTCCATAACAATCGTAATCCGATTATGAAAAATGGCATTATTTACACAAAACAATTTTTTCTCTTTAAATATATAAAGAAAATATGCAGCATATAATGGGATATCTGTAAAGTCTAAATAGATAACTATATAACCAATTGAGCTACACACTTTATATATCGCAGTTTTAGATGAACCTTTAAAACTCTTTTCCCTTTTTTCCATAACAATATTTATATCCGATTATGATGAATGGCATTATTATCTTAGACCGTTATTTTTCTACAAATATATATGTAAAAATGTATATATATGTATGTATATGTAAACAAAATACTTTATCTGATATGCTAATATTACTTGAACACTCGCTTTAGTACATAACCGCTGACTATAATCCTTTTATGCATTTTCTGCCGAGTCTAAAAAGTTATATTCACTCTTTATAGATTGGAGTTTTTGCCACAATCTCTTACCTTTTGTTCTGAACAAGTAATTAAATGCAATTTTCAATATGCGTTAAATGGATTTTCCCCCTTTTCACAACAATGTATTGCCAATTTTTTGAACACTTTCGTTGGCAGTTTTCATGTCTCACATTATTATTTATTTTTCTATATTTCGAAATATTTTAGCATTTTTCGGGCTGATTCACTTTTTCGGGAAATGCTTTTCCTTGCTTTTCACTTAAAGTGCACATGAAATGGTTAAATTGTTGTTGCTGTTTTTACTGCGTCGTCGTGTGTAAATTTTCTTGTCGCATGGCTTGGCTTTTCTATTCCTCCTCTGGTTTCTGCCTGGTGCTTATCTCATGTCGCGTATCACGGAACTCGTTAAAATCACCTTAGAACACGTGACTGCACGAGGAAAACACTCACAGACACAGGCACACACACACACACGTGCACACACATGCAGAAGCAACAGCGTTTGGCAGCACACACACACACATACACATACACTTATAAACGGCAAAAGTTGGGTAAAATTATGGCCAGCAAGAAAGTGTGCCGTTAGGTCGATCCGTTTGTTTGCCGTGTTGTTGCTGTTGTTGTTGTTGTCGTTGCAGGTGTGTGCGAATTGTCAAAAACTGCACACGCTTCGAAAAAAGCCGAAATTGAAATACACGCACAAACACACACACACACTCGCACTCGCACTCACATACATGTAACAAGCGTTAATCGAAGTGTCCGTTGTGTGTCTTTTGTTGATTTTGTCGTTTTGTTGTCTTGTTGTGTTGTTGTTTTTGTGGTGGACGCGCCGCACCGCCCGATCAGAAACTCGCTGCGATATCCTAATGCAAAAAAACGCACGTCCTCACGCAAAGGAAACGCAATGTAAACTGATTTGCTTGCAACGAGCGCCACGCAAAGGTCTGGCGAGGCCACAGCAGAGATTTTTCTTTTTGGCACCAAACTTCGTGCTTCGGCTGGGAAAGTGTGAGTGGCGGCGTCTCACGAACCACTGCGATGGGAGCACGAAGCGCAGCCGAAGGACAAAACGAGGCTGCATTCGGGTCAATGAATGGCGAAGCCAGTGCCGGTTTCGGTGGGTGAGGTGAAGAGGCACGGAGAGAGAAGACGAGAGAGCGCACCGGAGCGGCTGAGAGCGGCTTAATTGAGTCACTTGGGGAAACTCTACAAATGAGTTGAATTTAGTGAGCAAGAGTGGGGTGTTTGGTTTCTATGAGAGTTGCATTGCACTGCTTGACAGTGCCGTTTCGTTTATTGTGCACTGCTTTAGAAGCAGAGCTTTGTTTCCAAAACGTAAATGTTTTCTCGCCATTTCTCTCCAAAACTTAAATTTGAAATTTGAAAATTACAAGCGAAAATAAATTGTAATATTCATTTAAATTAGTTATTAACAATTACTTCGAAGGTCGTGCTGCTAAGTTTGTAAAAATGTGTTCAAAAATTACATTTTACGCGTAAAAAAAAATACCATATAACTTTTATTCATTAGAAATATTCTGTATTTGGATCCATATTTCTATTTGCATTTTTGTGTTTTCAAATCTAGATTTGTCTAAAGCTACTTCTTATTTTTAAAAAGTAGGCATCAAGTTTTTAATTTTAAAGTACTTTCAATAACCTTACAAGTTCAATATTAATCCAATCAATCAATCTATATCCAAACAGGAGGTGGACAACTTGTCCTACAGGTTTTTGTCAAATTTTTGTCCATTCGAGTATTTTATGAGGTGTCGTGTTTCGTAAATTTTTGTGTTCGCAGGAAAAGCCAAATATCCAAAAACACGCAAAACATTATAACATTTTGTTTTGAGTAATTATAATTCTTAATAGCAACAACAAGTTGTTGAGTTTTCATTCTTGTTGAATGTACATAAACAAACATCGAAGACCAATATCCCTTTCTGAAGGCCACATACTTACCTTTAAAGCAACCGTTTGCCCTTGCCTTGCTTGCAATTAATCAGATTTAACTATTTTAAATATGCATAAATAATTATATTCAATATGGAATGTCTTTTGAATTTTCAAATTTGTGTGCTGCTTGGTGCAGTGCATTTCCCCTCCCCAATCGTGCGTATCATAATTAGTATAAGAATTCACTTATACGTCGAACACTTTGCAGAGTTCCTTTAAAATATTAAAGTTTCCCACTGCTTGATGCAGTGCTTTGCTTCTTTACTGACGCGCTTGTCATATTATAAGAGCTCAGTTGTACGCAAGAAGAAGAGTTTGAGAGTTCCTTAAAAATGTAATGCATTTCCCCTTCAAAGACTCGCTTGTCATAGTATAAGAACTCACTTGTACGCAAGACAACGTTAAAGAGTTCCTTTTGGATGTTCATGTTTGTGCGCTGCTTGGTGCAAATTTACCTTCGTTGACGTGCTAGTATAATACAACTTTAAATAGTTCCTTTTTAATGTTAAATGTACTGCTTCCCCTACACTGACTCGCTTATAATCAGTAGTATAAGAATTAACTTATGCATAAGACAACTCTGGAGATTAATTTTCCCCACACCTATTCAGTGAGACTGCTTGGCCTACACCGTATAAGCTGGACGACTGCTCTATCCACACTATATTCAACTTAGCTGCTTAGCCGAAAACATTTATTAACAATTTTTTTAAGCAATTTTTTTAAGATCATAAAATTAAGATGGGCAGCTGGCGCTTACTTCCTCTTGCTGCGCTTCTTCGCCTGCTTTTTGCAATGCTTCGCCTTTTGGTCCAACTCGGTGACAATCAGTTCCAGGCGCAGGCGATGGCAGAAGTTGTGCGTCAAGGCCCGCACATTCTCGTAGCTCAGGTGCAGGTAATTGAAGTCCTTGCCCAGGAAGTCAGTGCACCTTTGACTCTGCGAGGTGGTGCGCACGCGCACCGTCCGACTCACCGCCTCGTTCAGAAACTTGTCGTGCACCGTCAAGGTGACGTAGAGCGGCTTAATTATTTGAGCCGAGAGCGCCCACACCACCCAGAGGTCGTCCTTTTCCTGGCGACTGGCCGCATTCGTGTCGTCGAACTGACCATCTCCCAGCACCGCGGCCCACGATGTGCGACAGGCCATAAGGACGATGGGTGTGTGGAAACGGAAGCTCGCATAGCGGCCATGCAGCGGGGCGTTCGGCAAAGCCAAATGCCGCTTGATCAGCGACTTTTCCGGCTGTCCCTTCGGCCCGCCATAGGCGTACAAAGTAAGCGCAATGTTCTCGCGAAATCGCATGCGCAGCGGGGCCAACAGTTCCACAAACCGGTGTCGCTCGAACAACTCCACAAAGCGCACGTGGCCCGTGTCCGTGTGGCAGGACACGAAGTGCTGGAGTATGGCCGACGGGCTGATCACACGCCCGCACTGCGGACAAGGGATGGGCGAGCGCGAAATGTCCAGCACGCACTTGGGGTCCCGCTTCAGGAGCACATTCATGTCGCTGCTCATGCCCTTGCGCAGCGTCTCCCTCCCACTGGCTGGGCCCGATGGCAGGGACTGGGAGCGTTGCCAATGGGAGTGCATCAGGCGGCAGTATTCGTTATAGTTGCGCTCCTTTCGTGCCTCATCCTCGTCCAGCAGTCGATTGTAGAGCAGTCGACCGCCCACCTCCTCTGCCGAGATCTTAGCACTCGCGACCAAGTCTGCTGACAAAATATATAATTTATATATTAATAAAAAATGAAGCTGCAGTTTCTAGAAAGTCTTCTTAAGATGTCCCCTCAGCGAAAAGAAAAGAAATTTATGAGAGAAATTATTAAAAAGATATGGATTCCAAAGGTTTTACTAAAATGAATGAATTTGTTATTAATAAGCTGATATTATTAAATTCCCAAGCTGTTCCTCTTCGAAAAAAAGAACATTCCACAAGCGATATTTTTAGGAGAAATTAAAAAGATATGAATTCCATTTGGAATGTTGAGAACGTTTCCAACGAATTCGACTCTGTTTGATTGCAAAGATGTTATTATACATAAATAAATAAATTATTAATAAGATATAGCGAGAATGTGGCAATTTTCTCATTCCAAAAAAAGAGCATTACACAAGCGAAATTTTCGTTTGAAATTTGAAAACGTTTCGCAAAAAACACCGATTTTATTTAATTGCAAAAAGGTGCAACTCTAAATAAATTCATTATTAAGCCGATCTTTAAGCTATAATGTCCCATAAAGACTTGAAATGTCCTCATTCCGAAAGAAAGAGCATTCCACAAGGGAAATTGATGTGAAAAACGTTTCAAAAAACCAAGAAAATGAGAAAAACATTTAAAAACAGAATGAGTTCGCTTGGAATATTGAAAACGTTGCGCGAATAACAACGATTTTAACTTAAAGGGTGCTACTTTTTTTAAAAAAAACTATTAACTGTCATTATCGTTAGACTAATATTTAGGATCACGAGTTCATTATCGTTGTCGTTAGCAGATGTTAAAGGCCCCTATCGACAGAAACTAATCCCTATTAGTTCCATTGACTAGCAGGCTCGAAGGTTTGGTTCTATTTGTCGGTTAACATTTGTTATTAATAATTTAAACAAACAAAAAGCTGAATAGCTAAAAAGAATTGCAGTCTCTTAACTGATTTAGTAAACATTTAGTTTAACTTTTTGCAATTCTTAGATTTTTGTCATTCTTTTTAGCTAAACCGCCTTTTCGTTTTGCACTCTCTTCCCATCTCTTTACTCGACTGATGCGTAAATAGAATGGAATTCAAATCGGCAGCAGTCGCTTCTACCTACCTTTGTCCTCCCAATGCAAGTCACACGCTAGATTCTCATAGAATCCGGGTATTTGATTGATTTGCTCGTCACTCAGCGACTCCATCGTAGGATACTGCGCCACAGGACTGCTGGCCGACAACAAGTTGCGCAAGGAGGCCGCTTTAAAAGGAATAATTATATATCTATATAGTCCGAGTCTGGCACTTACATTCCGCATCTGCATCCGACTTGCCGTAGTCCCGTTCCGCCCCGCTCTCGCTGATGCTGCGCGCCAAGTTCGTGTTGGAAGGTACCGTCCTATCCAGGTCCATGTCTGTACAAAAATATAACGAAATAATTTGGTCGATTAGCTCAAAGAAACCCTATGGATGCCGAGCAAAATTTCATTTGCCAGGTATAGTGCCGAGCCTATAAAAATTATTAAAAAAACTAAAGGAAGGCACACTATGATTTGGGAATATCCAGACAACGAGAAATGGGATATTTTTACTTCATTCTCATGACAATAAATACATTATTATTATTTTTATGTTGGAATCTATATTTAAAAGAATACTTATGGAGCTTTATTTTATAATGCATAAGCATTCAAAAGTTAAAATCGCATTACAAAGATAAGCTAAGGAATGGAATCAGGAAGAAGTAGGAAGTTTTTATGAAACTCCATTCCCCTTTTTAATTTCAGCCGTTCATTTAAATCGCCTAGGCTGTGAAAAAAGTGTTTATACTTGTAGTTCTTGTTTTCTTCTTTTTATCCTGCACATTTCTGCTGTTCTTATACTAAACAAAGCTGAGTAGATATTAAAATAAAAACCAAATGAAATGTTTTCCCCTTCTTCTTAAAATTACATGATTTCCTTCTCGCTCTATATAGTTTGGTTGCAATCTATATATACTATACTATAATAGCTAAATATATCTTGATTGGCTGATCAACACACAGCCCCAAACAGTAAGAGTTGAAAAACTTTGGCAATTGGAAAATGTGGGCTCCAAAGGTGCAAAAACGGGCTACAGAGATAATTTGAATAATCAGGAAATTTCTTTCGATTAACTACAAGCTTGCTTTCTGGGGGAAACAAACAAGGGTTCAATGGAAAAGTTGCTCTATTTTATGTTCAAATATATCTATATTGCAGTAGTTTTATAAATGAAATAAATTAAAATATTTATTTTTTCCATACCAGCAGTATGATGTGCTGATCCGATGTAGGATATAGTGTATAAAATAAACCTTTATAGTTTTAGATGGAAGGCTGGCTCTACAACTAAACAGCGAGTGACGAGTTAAATAATGAAAAAAAAATAAATAAATGAACAAATATATATAAAAAAATAATAATATAAATAAATAAATGAATAAATATATAAATAAATAAAATAAATAAAATAAATAAAATAAAATGAATAAAATAAATAACAAAAATATAAAAAAATAAAATAAATAAAATAAATAAATAAAATAAAATAATGAAATAAATACATAAAATTAAATAAATGCATAAAATAAATAATATAAATAAAATAAACAAATTATTAATATAAAATAATTATTAATAAATATTTTAATAAATTTTAATAAAATAAATAGAATAAAATAAAAAAAATAAATAAATAAAATAAATAAATAAAATTAAAAAAAAAACAAATAAATTAATAAAATAAATAAATTAATTAATTCATAAATAAATAGAATAAATAAATATATCTCCCACTGCCTGCCATCCTCTCTGGCACGCTGCAGGTAGTCCATGCTTGCCACATCCCACCTTCCCCCAACTCAGAACTCGCAACACAGTCCACTGCCAAAAACACTGTCAGACGGCGCGGCCGTTTCATTCTGCCTCTATCGACAAACAAATAATTGAATATTTCTGATATACGAGCATTTCTTGTTGTGCGATAATGTAATAGTTATGGTCTGGATCTGTCTTCAGACTTACGAGTGTCTTCCATTTGCATACAAAGCGCAGTTCAATGAACCGTTGCTCGCCTATTTTCGAAACGGGTGCCGAGCCTATGGGGCTAATGACTTTTCCGTCTCCAGTTGTCTGCATCGTCTTTATGGCCACCCGATGAGTGCCAAGAAATCTGGCAGCAGCATGTTTTTTTTTGTATTTGTATCCGACGAGGCTAATGCACTGCAAATGGAAGTGTGTGGCAAGGCTGTGTGTGAGGTCATCAGCATAATTGCAATTTTTATGACTATGACATTTTTGCGCTTCAAGGATTTCCCTTTGCTGCACTCTCGCACTCTTGTCGGCCAAACAAATATACGAGTATATATGGGCGTGATTATTCATTTTGCGCCTGACGAGCATATTTCATTGGACGCCTGGAAGCCGGCCTGAAGGCAGTCGACAGTCGGCTGCCTGGCACACTTTTCTGATTTACAAGTACTTAATGCTATCCCTGCCCTAAATTCTCAAATAATGGCTGAGAATGCGCCTGAGATTTGTTCTGTACTCCAATTTCCAATCCATAGAGATGGATGATGAAAGAGTTTTTTTTAAATTATAATAATGGTTATATCTATTTATTTCCAATTTCATTAAATTATTTTAATGATAAATTTAATACAGCTTTATTTGACATTAAATTTATAAATTTATACATATATATTGTTTTTTTCTTAGTTTTTATTATTAGTATTAATATTATTATTATTTTTTCCTTTTTTTCTTATTTTACTTTATTTATTTCTTTTATTTTATTTTTATTACAATTTTTGTTGTTATTGCACGAATGTGTCCAACTAATAGTATAAGTTTGTTATGATATGATATCTGTGTAGGCATTTTAATTTAGATTAATGAAACGTCTATTACATTAAAAAGGGAATAATAATATAAGGGATAATAATACTCATCATCGTCTTCATTTGCTTAAAATACATTTTAAAACCTGTTTCCATTTCTACCTCATGATTTGCTTCTGCCTCCTCCACTGCTCCAAACAAACACATCTGCACAGTTATATATTATTAACTTATCAAATATTATTGTTTCTATATCGTTCGAGAGCAGTTAACCAAAATATAACCGACTTAGATATTGTATTCAATTCTTTGAAAACCAAAAGGAAATATTTCAAAACTGTCCGATTAAATGGTAGTGGATCGTGCAGGAAAAGTTTAATGCAAAGCCAACGTCTCAGCTCAAGTTTTTCTTTATCTCGAATATTAATTCAAGTTCCTCGCAGGTTTTCCTTTATCTCTTATTCTTAATTCAAGTTCCTCGCAGTTTTTCCTTCATTTTTAATTTTAGCCTAACCTCACGTTGTATAGCTGCTAGCTTTCAACACAGTCATACATACAAAGCGAAGATGTGTACCATAGGGGCAGTGGCGCCATCGAGCGGTTGCTTAAATAACTATTTGTAAAAGCTGTGGAACTTGTTCATGGCTGTAGATTTTACACAAATGAGCTTTTGTCAAGCTTAGGAAAATGGGGGAAAAACGGAAAATATATTAATATTGTTATGGACAGCAACATCTAGAAAAAATATATGATTATATTATAAAATATATGAAAACAATATGAAGATGTGTGCTTGGAGCAACTCCTTAATTATTGTCCTTACAATCCTTCCCAGACTATTTCACAGTTACAGCAAAATGGCAGATCATAAAATAAGTTGAGCTTCGTCGAAGGCGGACAGATAATGCCAAAGAGATAAAATGGCATCACAACGTCCAAACCATAGCCCATAGGTATTTATAATGATCTCAGTTAAAACGATGCTTCGAACATATTTCTTAATATATTATTTATTTTTCGGCCCAAAAATCAAACTAGTAGCTACTGATGATGTTTCTTTGTTAATTATTTATTGTGGTTTATTCATACTTTGCTGGCTTATTGCTGGAGCAAATATTCCTTGAACTAATACTTGCATTTACTTCTAAATAACTTTTTACAATAATATAATACTTTCACATTAACTTTATATATGTATGTATATATATATAGATTTATCATATTCGTCCTGTTGTTATTGATTACATTTTAAGTTGCTTATGTCCTACTATTTTTAACTATTACATTGATTCGTTTAGTGGATCATTATTTCAATTGTTTATCTCTCTTACTAGCTTTCCACTGATCGGGTTCGATCTTTTCGGCTTTTGCTTAAACTAAATTAATTTATTTGTTAATACTTGTGCTTGTTATATTTGAACAAACAGTTTTTATTTGACTTGCTTTGAAAACATTTTATTGTATTTACACTAATTGTTATCAAAGATTCGCCTTTTGGCATCTAAACACGCACGTCATAGACCTACAAATACATTTTTTATGTAAGGGAAATCATATGAGAGCCGAAAATGATGAGAAGAACAATGAACCACAAATAAGGGAAGACAAATTTCACAACACGTTTTGATTACACAAATCTGAGAGCATATCTACAATTAAATGCTCACAACATTTACACTTACGACTATTTTTTGTTTCTAAACCCATTTCTATACATATTTACAGAACTATTTTTTCGAGCAATCGCTTAAATTTTTGCTTGCTTTTGATCTCGAACAAATGCTTTTTTTGGCAACTCTGTTGCAATTGTTATGAGTACTTTTTGAGTTAATAACAATATATTTCGACATACCAATACTTAATTATTTTAAAACAAAATGAATTGTTCTGAACCCATCATATTGTTATTAGTATTTTATTGTTTTATTCATTTGATTTCATTTCCTTTATACATTGCGCTTTCTTTTCAACTTGGATTACACCGATTTAATTATAAGGTAAAGGAACTGTTTACCGCTGGATTTTTGTTTGCCAAAAATGTGAAGAAATTATACCTCTGATTTGCCATATTGCCAAAAATGATTTTAAAAAAAGGGTCTAGCGATTCCTTAACTTTTGTGTTCTAGAGCTATTAGATTTTTAAGTTTTCGCCCACAAATCCGCGAATTTAAATATGGAGATTGATAATTTTGCATTATTCCAAAACTGTAAAAAGTTCCTTTCTATACAATGTCTTAGGTTTATGCGCTAAGTCTGTAATATGTATCCGTGTATCTGGGATTTCAATACCCTATGAAAAAAACGATCAATGTTGTCTATCATGCAGACCTGTAAGTAAATGTACACCGAATAGCTTAATACCCAGTCAATTTCTTTGGACTTCCTTGGCTTACAAAGCTGTAACAATTAATTTTGGAAATTTGCTTAAGCTTGGATGAATTTTCTTAAGTGGAAAAATCGCAGTAAATCGATTGGTTACTAAAATTCTCGTTGTTTTACTTACCCGGTCCATCTTGAGGCATATTTCAGATTTACAATATCCTACTGAATATACATAATTTATATAATTAACTTACTTTATACCCTGGTTACATAAAATGTCTGCTTTACAAGGCAGAGTCAAATTTATATCGCTTTTTATTTACACATTCTGGGAAGAAAATGGTTTCGTTCAAATTTTGCCCAAAAAGGGACATCTCTTGTCCAAAACTATAATAAGTTAGTGAATACTTTTTTTTGTATTTGCCCTAAACTTATGCCATAACTGAGACTCAACTTATATTCAAAAAATATATCTGTTTTTTTTTTAAATTTAAAAATTACCAGCTCATTATAAATAATACAAATAATAAGTAAAATCAATTCTTAAATTTAAAAAAAAAATTATGAATTGTTTAGGGATTTTCGAAAGCAAAATATTTGCAAATTAAAAAAAGGAAATTATTTTCGTTCAATCCGCCCACTCTTTTGTTAATTTCTAAAATTTTAATTAAATTTTTTGAATTGTTTGGGGATTTTTGAAGACAAGATATTTGCAAATTAATTATTTTAAAAATGTTAATAAATTATATGAATTGTTTGTGTTTCTGCATTTTTTTTAATTCTTTAATTGGAAAAACAGAAAAAGAATAAATAGTAGAGATGAACAAGAATAAATAGTAGATATGTGAAGTGTTGGAAACGATGCAAAATAAAATTTATTATTTACGCGCAATCAGTTGTTTATTTAATCAGCTGGAAGCTATTAATAGCAAAATTTTTAAGTAGCTTTATGGCATGCTACTCATTAAAAAAAGTTCGCGAAATAAAGCGCTAAAAAGCTGTGGAATTGCTAAGAAAACCATAACAGTAGTTTTCAGATGAAAAATATCTGTTTTATACGGGAAGGTGAAGTTTAAATTTTGAAAATATTCTAAACAAAAAAGCTATTATTTCTAAATTTTTCCCGCAATTGGCCTTCAAGAAAAGCAAGGTTTTAAAAAAAAATACAAATTAACTTGACTTTACAATTTAAAGTTTAAATAGAAATGAATTATTCTGCTTCGAACATTTCGCTTAGGAGAATGCCATTTTATGCCCAGAATTAACGCCATAATTACAATTAATGTGAATGCCTCTCTTATTTGTTTATAGAGGCTGCTAATTTTATTCTATTATTTGAAGCAAGTTCACGTTGCCTCGTATTTATCCCTTGCTTATATATTTTCTTATGTACCAGTTCGTTACTTTTTTAGACAACTAAAATAGAGGATCTAGTTCGGCATCTGCTTCAGGGAATTTAAAAGATTGCCTTTTTAGCCAAAGGGGAAACTTTTGAAATATTTTTCATCATGTTCCCCAATTTCAACAATGGCACTCAGTCTATAAACATCTCAAGATTTTCAAATTGCCAGATGGAGAAAATTCGTTAGTCGTTGAGATTAAAATATTTGGTATAAGCAATAACTGGCCAATGAGTGGAATTTGTTATTAATTTTCTAGGCCTATTTATCCTTTTCAAAGAAAGCATATGGCTTTCTTTTTATTATTGTTGAAAATTATGAAACAGATGGCAATTCTATTTTTATTTTAAGTGAGCCAAGTGGCCAACAATTTATTGATATTCTTTCCACTCGTTTTTCTGACGTAGATAACGCAAATTTCAATTTGTAGATAGAAAGCCTATAAATATGTTCAAATAGTAACTATATTGAACGGAAATTTGAATTATGGGTATTGGTTTGTTATAAACATTCATTGGTAATTGCTTTCCAATGCTGGAAAAAAACACTTGGACTGACAAATTGAAGATCCTGGAAGTTTATTGAATTGTTTCATGTTTCATATTTTTGTGTGTTGTCTGCTATTCATAAATACTTGTTACTACGTTCGGGGTTTGCATGTTTTTGTTTTTTTTGAGATATATCGCATCTTAGTCTGAATATTTCATAGATTCATACTTCTATGTTACACGCTTAATAGCCTCGGCGGCATTCATTTTTGGTTTTTACTTGAATAACACTTAGGCGCTACGCATATATGTATGTATATGTTGTAATATTGTTATATAATAGTATAATATAAATTCAACAGCTGTAGTACCCTTGGCCATTGATGATGGAAAAGCGCGAAAATGCAATTAATTTCCATATATGTATGTATATTAATTATTGCAATGCTTCACGCGCTTTTCACGGTTTTCATGTTTTCTTTACTTCGTCTTACACAAATTGAAAATTGAACCAAAAACTGGCAGCCAAACCAAAAGAAGGCGAGAGAAACGTCGTGGTTGCTGCTGCAGCCACTGCTCTGGCTATTGTTGTTGTTGTTGCTGCTACTGCTACTGCTGCTGCTGCTGCTGCTGTTGCCTTGCAACACCTTAAGCTACTTTTGTGAAATGCATTTCATCATCAATTCAACATCAGCACGAAATGTTGGCGGCCACTTCGCTGCGCAAAGTCATCAATAATCGTTGATCCAGCGTTGAGTTCGATGTTGTTATTGTTGCTCTTGTTGTTGTTGTTGTTGCTGTTGTTGTTGCTGTTGCAGCTTCAGTTGTTGTTGCTGCTGTCGTTTGCAGAACTCCAGCAACTGTCGCTGACAGTCGTCGTTTCTCGAACTGTCCTCCTTCTCGTCTTCGTCGCTGTGTTGCAGTTAAATCATTGCTGGCACTTTGAATATTGCCGTCGTCATCATTGTGATTGCCGGGATGATGCCACGCCCACCGCCTCTTCACGTGGCACTGCTCCAGAGTGCAGAGTGTTGCCATTTGACAATTATAAAAGCATTTGCATGGAGCCGCCTTTGACATTGTCAGTTGGCTCAACTGTTGCTGCTGCTGCTGCTGTTGTTGTTGTTGTTGCTGTTGCTGGGAATACTCTGCTCCTTTTTTGCCGCTATATTGAGGGTCGATAATTTGATGTGCCAACAATCGCCAAAGCCTCATCCTCGTCGCATTCGTGAGCCTTGTCAGAGCGACACTTGCGAGCAGGCCGAATGGCAGCCACAGAGCGAATGCATCAACGTTGTTGTTGTTTTTGTTGTTGCCTGCAACACGAAATATTGCCTCCAGCATCAGTCTCTTGATGTGCCTGTGCAGCTTAGATATTTGTTGCAACAACTGCGTACATTTGAGCAGCCAGGAATTCCAGAAGATGTGAGCTCTCGATGCGGCCGATGCGCTGCCATCAGCTATCGGAAAAAAGAGCATTGCATTAGCTTCAAATGAGAAAAGGGTATTCTTATGCTTCTAAATAAATCAGTATCTTATAAAGATAGCTATATGAATGATTGGAAATCTTATAACTGAAAATAATGAAGGAATCATAGATAGGGTCAGTCATAAATAGAATCCTTTTTTATCAGTGCACTACATATCCAAAACTGATCAAAACTATCAGATATGGAAATATGAATTAATGGCAAGAAAGGTCCACTGAATAATACAAAATACGTATACACAGATAATTATATCAAATATATTACCTTCCTAAACAATGTTAGAAAATTCTGGACCACTAAAATGAAAAAACTTAATATCACGTCAGTCCGTAAAGGAATTGCTTTTGTTGAAAAAATAAAGCAAAACTTTTCAGAAATTGTAATTAGAATAGTTTCCCACAAAGTATTTAGTATGTAGTACACGTTTCCAGTTATAGTTATCAAGGAAATTAATTATTCTTCAAGTCTTTAAGATCATTTCTTGATCAGAATATGCCATGGAGAGGGAAAAATGTTTTTTTTTTCGATAATATTTATTCTGATTTCATTTTGTTTTGCTAAAATCTTCTTCGTAGCTCTTTCCAGTGTAACGCTTCGAGCGGTGCTGGATTTGATATTTTGCTGAGGCTTTTATCCAGATTGTGCAATTCGCCTTTGCATCTAGAGTATTTGCTCAACTGATCCCATTCAGCTTTTAGTTGCTCCCCAGCCACTGCAGGGCCTTCAAAGCAATTCGTTAGCACCAGAACCAGAGCCATAGCCAGAGAGTTGAACGTGCAACAACAATTCTAAGCCTTTGCCTTTGCCTCAGACTCGGCGCGTCCATTCGATGCCCAGACAGGCAGCAGCTCTAGCTGTCAACTGATTCTGCAGGGCAGCCTTCAACCTCCTCTACCCACAGCACAAACAACATAAATTATGTAAATAAAATTTTCCAACATAAACATTTTGCCACCAGAAGGCGAAAAAGAAGAAGAGACAGCACGAGCAGGAACAGGAACAGGAGCAGGAACAGGAGCAGAAGTAGAAACAGGGGAAGGAACAACGCTTGAGTAAAGGAAGCGACACGCTTATCGAATCAAATGCCGAGGAAATAAAATTGGTATAAACTTAGTTTAGTCATGAAAGATTGGGGACAGACGGTGTGCCATTGAAGCAGCAGTCCAACGCTTGATGTGTAGTCACTATTGCTGCCACTACTCCCTCCTCCAGGCCCGCTCCGAACCATATGCAAGTGCAGCGTTTTTCCCTCGAACCAAAGTTATTTTCATTTGCATTTCGTCTTATATATACATACATATATATATATATATATATATTTTTTTTTTTAGTTTGTGTGTGGGTGGCTGGGTGTCAAAAAATATGTGTACGTACGTATGTTTGTGTATTGTATGGCTAAAAGTGTTGCCACTTACTTGCGGCAACATTTACTTAACACCAACAACAACAATGTAAACGCATTGAGTTGAAAATTGTATTTAAAATTGAGTTGGCGGGCCAAGTACAAGTAGTAGAGCAAAGAAGGGAAAAAATAATAAACATACATCCATACATAGAGTATATTGCAAAAAATTTCAACGTGCGCATAAAAGTATGCAACATTATTGCTGCAGCTGAACGTTTCATAACTGAATGAGTGTTGTGTTGTGTGGTGGGTTAGAGTGGGGTGGAGTTGGGTAGTGTGGGCGTGGGGAGTACAACCAACAGGAAGTTGCCTAAGGAGTTGGGCGTGGTCTGCGTCTGATTTTTGTTGTAGATTTTTGTGAACCTTATGCAAATGCCATGTTGACATACAATTGCATACATAAGTGAGTGGGCGCTTGTGTGTTTGTGCGCTTGCATATATGTTTGCGCAATATTTTTGGTAAAGAAGCACAGAAAAAAACAACCATTTCTGCTCCTTGCTTTAAGCTTATTACAAGTTTTCCTCGAAATCAGTCAGCAAAATATTCCGATACTTATACGCAGTTGAAGGAACTTTTATGAAGATTCATGAATGCAGACATGAATGCAAAAAGCAGCTGAATTTGTTACACAAATCCTACTAATTTGGAGGGTAGCTCAAGAGACTTGTTTGTGGATAGAAATTAGAGATAATATTCCTGCTCAACCGCTCTAGCTTAAGTTAACTTTAAAGTAAAAGCAAGTAGTGGTATATTTAGAAGAAATTTTAGTTCTTAACATTGAAAGATAAATAACATCTGCAAAATATTATGACCGTATAAGCAGCTAATTTATAGAATCAATTTCTAATAAAACGACTGAGAGAAGCACACTGGAGCTCTTGATCTGGACACTTACCCGAGTAGTAAGTCAAATAGGATTCGTTGTGATCATCAAAGCCACGCTCCCCATTCGTATGCTCATCCAGTGGGTAATTGTTGATGTCATAGGACCTGCCCGATGCCATAATCCGCGGACGATCTTCTTCGATAACGCTCTCGATTTCCTCCTTAAAAATGTAAAATATGTTGGCCGTGCACTTGAGCTGCAAAGAGACTTAATTAGCGTAATGTGACAATTAATTTTATCTGCACGCTCTTACTCTCATCTGTCCCTTGAGAAAATGTTGCGTGGTGACCATAAAATGTATCGCACTCATCACAGACTCCAGCGAGCTGTTCTCGTGCTTCTCGATTTGATACGTTTTGATGTGATGGGGAGGCACCTAAAAGTGGATTCGTGGATTGGTGGAAACAAAAATAAAATAGAATGCAAAAGCGAAAGGGAAAGGGAAAGAGAAAGCGCCACAAAGCGCGTGTCAATTGTCAAGTGGAATATGTGATACAAATATACATATAGCAGTACAATATATATAGGATATAACAAACTACGCTCCAGTTTGCAAGTTGCAATCTCTATTGTGGCATATGTTGTTTGGCATGCGACAGAATCAATTTCTATGAATATTTATCAAAAAGTTGTGCATGTCAGGACGCAGATAGCGGCCGCATGCAATGAAGTACAAGTAACGTCGCACGCTTCAGTGCAATGACAATAACAAGAACAACGAAAAGGAGGACAACCACAACTAGGAGAGCGTCGGGGGAGCCCTGCCATATCATTCTTCGAGTGGCGCCTTCTGGGTACTTCTTACGCCATCATTGCGCTCAATGGTTTGTTGGCGAGAGGCGCTGAGCGCTGAACGCTGAACGCTGGCCGCTGAGTGCGACTGAGACTTGACTTTTCTGTGTAGACGACGCAGTCAGCGCCTGCCCAAAAAACATACCACGAGCAAAATTTATAACTTATGAATGATGAATAGATTTACGCTTGAGTGATTAAGTGGGGCAGGCAGCAGGCGGCAGGACAGGCAGTCAAACAGCCGTGCAACCAGGCGGCCAGACAGACAAGCCAGGCGAGCAGGACACGCACCAAACAGCCACTTTGTTTGCGGTGAGTTTAGTTTGAAGTGCCTACAGATACAGATACGTTGCGTCTCCATCCACCGTTACCTTCTGCGTCCCAGCTAGGCCCTTCTGACAGCACTGCTTGCCACCAACACCGAAATAACCACACGTACTCATGCATACAACCACACGCATCCACACCGATACACGCACACGCACACGCCCACACACCCACACTAGAGATGGGAGCTGCAATCGTCTCATGACTGTTGCACTTCTTAATTATAAGTGCTAAGCACATATCGCAATTGTTAATTGCTTTCCAAACAGGAAACAATTATAGCCACATTATTTGTTATGCATTCTGCGATTTAGAGCTAATTTGGAAGACGCGTGTCCAGCTTTTTGTAGAAAACAATGTGATCCTCGCTGACTCCCTTCTTCTTCCTCTATTTAAGCTCTTAATGTTTCTTTATCAAATGTAGCAAAAGTGTTTATCGATGAGATCCCTCTTTGCTTCGGGCTTCTATGATTGGGATTATATTTCAATATTTCGTTGCACCATCAATTACTTTGTTTACCAATAATACGGAATAATATCTCTGAGAATTTTACTGTTTCTGAAATTTGTCAGCTATTAGCGCTAAGAGCTTTATTTTTATTTTTTTAATTATTTAAGATCTTTCCTAAGTTGGACAATTATTAAATTTTATGATTATATTTTGTTTTTATCATGCTTCTTTCTTTGTGGTTGCGGCGTGATTTGCACCTAGGAATGAACTCACATTGTGGGGTTCCTGGTCCTAAAATTATATTTTAAATTTGTAATACTATGTCTTTGTTAAAAAATCATTTTCCCAAACAAAATCAGCTATGTTACTTCTGAGCAGACAATTATAGCCATACTAATTAATTAACTTAAATAAATAGTTATGTAGGTTGCGCTTTTATTTAAATAGTAAAATATTAATAATGTTAATTTAGTTGTGGGACTTTCTGGTTGTAATTTATTCATTTTTTCTCTCTGTAAAACATCAATTCTTTCTTTAATTTCTGGCTCGTTTCTCTCACATTTCGTGTACGTGTTATTTTTTATTTATTTTTTCTCTGTAAAATATCAGTTCTTTATTTCATTTCCAGCTCGTTTCTCTCACATTTCGTGTACGTGTCACGCGCCCATCTCTAGCACGCAAACACCTACGCATATACATGTAGTATATGTGCCTCATGGCTCTGCCTGCCTGACTGCTGTTGAAAAGCGCTCGTTAGCTAAAAGATCAAGTGCCACACACACCACAGAACACAACACACACACACACAAACACACACAAACACCCACACACACCCACACACCGTCACACTTGTGTGTGCACACTTAAAGTGCTGTTTGTGTTAGTTTTGCTGAATTGCTTGTTTGATAATGATAAAAAATAGGCCGTGCCTGCTGTTTGGTTGGCAGGCAAGCGCACGACCATAAGTTTCACTTCATTCTTCTGCAGCTGGAGGAGCACGAGCATTGTGGCAGGGGCAGGTGTGGGGGTGGGGGGTGGGGAATGCTCAAAAGTTGCCAAGTGGCAGCTAAAAGTATATTTTCCAAAGCCCTTTTTGCATATTTCGTTTTTGTTCCAAAACATCAAAATGTTCAGTTTGCGGTTGTCACGAGGGCTACAGATACTCGTAATTGACTGAATTGCGAGCAATTTCTCAATAGACATATACCCCGATGAATATACACAATTTTTCTCCTACTATTTAAAGTTAAGATTAAAAATTTGTCAAGTACTTTGCTCGTTTGAAAACACCTCGTGCTTTTAAATGTTCATGTGTTGTAAAGATTTAGACTCGCGATGGAAATCAACTATTGATATAAACGTAAAATAATGGTTTATCCATTAAATAATATGCTTTAATAAAAATATTTCTTTAAGGCTGATTTTTTAGCTAAACAATTAAGTAAATAACATTTAAATGCCTTTTGTCCTTAACACAAAATTATATTCATTATTTGAGTTTTATTTTGTTGCTCAAAAATAATGATTATTAGTTGCGTTGCAAAGTATAACTCAAAATTGAAGGTATTGATTGAATGAATGATTTTTTTCGAAAAAAAAAACACGAAATAATCATTATTTGCAATGCCTAATAAAAACGTTTAAATAAAGAGTGCAACAAAAAATAGATCAGATGCCTACACATCAGAAATCCAAACAAATAGCTTAACACATGCTTCGGTCTCTATACTGTTGTTTTTGTAATTATAGTTTAGCTAAATAAAAACAACATTATCATTATTTTACTTCCTGACAACATCTGTTAAATTGAACTGAACAGTAAATTTATTTTTCCTACACACGGGCCTTCCAAAAATAATCCATTAAATATCACTGAATGATAAATTTTGACTTTTGCTGCCGCCGTTAATGATTGACGATGCCGCACTTCAGAAACCCAGACACCTCTCCATGAAGAAAAAAAAAGAACCTACAAACCAAAACTCCGTACAAAGGCCACCGGTGAAATATGACTTTAAGCGAACTGACACAACAGAAGCACTCACATTCCCAGCTCTCTTCTGGTTGCGCGAAGCAACAAAAGCAACAATAAAAATAAAATCGCGCAAGTCTAAGGCCAAAATGACTGGCCAAAAAAAAAAATGAGAAGAGAGGAGAACCCAGCAAACAGTAAGATATAAAAAAACTAGCTGACAACATAAACGTTTCTTCAAAAAAAAAAAAAAAAAAAATTTAACAAAGTAAAACACGGCAGCATGTCAAGAGCAAATGCACACACACACACACATACATACGCATACATATGTGTGTGTGTGTTTGGTATTCACCTGGATGTGTGTGCAGTTATCCGCACCTATGACAAAAAGCAACACTGGCAGCTTTTCCGACTGCGACGCGCTGTGGTTGCGGCCATAAAACAAAAACAATAGCAGAAAAGCATAAAAAGCGACAACAACACACACACACACACACACACTCACGCAAATTCACACCAACAAACAGACACTGACACACTCTGACACGTTGCCTATCAAAATATATGAGCCTACAGGATACAAGCGAGCCAAAAAATTCACAGCTGCCAAAAAGTGTAAAGCACGAAAAATGAAAAATCGCGCACTAAACGCTAAAAGATGCCATTTTTACGAACCATTTCTATATAACGCACATACATACTTGTATATAGTTTTTGGCAGGCCATCCAAAGGCAAACAGAGAATTACACACATCAGGTATTTCAAATGGTATTTAGGGAGCATCTGCTCTAGGTGTGCCCCAAAAGCCTCAGTAGCTGATTCCCCTTTAGTTTCTAAAGCGGAATCTACTATTATTTTTGAAACAAATGTTGCCATAGAAATTTTCTATTGCTTATAAGTAATACTTAGAGAGTATGTTATTCAAAGACTGTGAAAAAGGAGCTATGTATACCAGGCCTATTATTTCTTTTCCGGTAAAAGGAAAGCCATAATGTGAGCAATTTTTTACTATTGTTCAATTTATTCTTTAAAGATGCCATGTTTATTCCAGCTTTTAGGATTTTTTTTAATTCAAAATATTTTTAGTTTAATTCGTTTATACCCTGTACCTAAAGGGTAGCATTCTCTCTTCTTTCATTTTTCAATCAGTCGCGAATATTTAAATTATTTTCTGCCTTTCTGTTTCCTGAGTTAGTTTCTTACAAATTTTATTTCATTACTATTATCGAGTTACATAAGTCGATCGGTCTACTTACTAACTTCTATGTAAGTTGCTTTTCTGTTTCCTGACAATCCCAATATGGGTGGCAGGAAAAAATTCTGCTCAAATAAAAGCTTATCATCGAGACAGAACCGTTTTATGAATAGCTTTAAAAATCGTATTTTCTCGAGGTACACAAATGGCACCAACGTTGCAAAAAATGGATCAACCTAAAAGAATTCTAAGTTTGAAAACAATCATGAAATGTAGAAGCTAAAAAAAAAGCTCTAAAACAAGTGTTCTTTTTAGATCAACTCCCGTAAATTGTGGATATGCTGGAGTACAATTGAAATGACAATATATTGTTATGATAATGAATCAGGGAAACGACACGATTATTTACCAAATTAATATTTTGCTTGCAAATTTGCGGACCATGCCGATTCCACTGCCACTTTCTAATGAGCTCCTGCCTAAAATTAAGATCGCTTTGTCCTCATTTTAGTCTTCTCTACACAAAGTAATAATTGTATATATATATTTTTAATTCTAATCTTTTCCACACAGAACAGATTTTTAATAGGATATTTGCAGTATATTACTTCTTAATCAGATAATCAGCGGATATTGACAAATGAAAAAATATGTGAAAACTGTTGTTCAATTCATAAATTATTGTAGAGTCGATTCTCGTTAATTCGAAAATATGTATTTCTAAAATATTCATTCTTATATAATTCATTCGAAACTATTTTTCTAATAGCGGCCTCTATTAAATGCACAATTTTTAATAAAGAAAGGTCTATATTGTCTTTTATGTTCTAAGACTCAGAAATATAGAAATATAAAGATAAAATTTATATAAACATTTCTGAAGCTTTAAGCAGTTTCAAATTTTTGAAGACCTTATTTTAACTGATGTTTTGAACGATTCCTATTTCCATATAATACTTGGATAATGCTTTTAAAATATTTATTTTAAATAAATAGCTTGTAAACTACAAACTACTTACACCAAACTACACAAACTAAGCACTTAAGTGTTACAATTAAATATTTTTGATTTGCTGAAAACGATTTTATATATTCTTTTATCTGCAACTATTTGTTGATAAAAGTCCTTTTCTCTGCTCGAACATGAACTTTAGTTTGATATTAATATGTGAATGCTATTATACTGGCACTTAATATACGTTTTCATTCGGTTCTCTAATTACTGTTTAATTTTGGTAGCTCGGTAGTTTCGAGCTGTTCCCTTTCCTCCTAATATTCGCCATGTGGTAGAGTTATCCTTTTTTTGGCAGCTGTTCGTTGTGCTTTTATTACACACCCTGACCAATCTGGTGATATATTACGCGCATTTTTATATCTTTTACTTCAACTTCAGGCGTCTGCGTTTTTGGTAAACACACAAATCAAGTGGCCCAACTCCCCGAATAGGAGAAGAAAAAAAAAATTGAAGAAAATGAAAGAAAACTGTGAACGTGCTAATTGCAAAATTGGCAGGCAATCAATTGAAGAGCACCGCAGCAAACCCAAAAACTGTGGGTGGCACTTAATTGAAAGGCGCAAACGCCAACGCCAACCCAAACCCAAACCCAATTCCGATTCCACATCCACTTCCACTTCCAATCTGAAACCGAAGTTGAAAGCCTCAAATGCGCTGGCCATTGGCCTCTATTCTACACAATTCTGGCCGTAATCGTAATCGTAACCGTAACCGAAACCAAAACTTACCACAATACCATTAATAGTCCATGTCAAATTAGCAGCCGGTTTCGAGTATTTAATTGAGCAATTGCCGTCGACCAAATCGCCAATGCGATAGCGGGCCTGAATGCCGGTAACCATTGTGTGCTCTTCCGGCAATTCTGCACCAGGCGAAGGAGATAGAAATACAAAGAAGAGCATGGAGAGAGGGAGAGAAATAACGAGTTAGTTGAGTTGGCTGGCATGGGAGGCGACGAGCCTGGGCAGGCACATGCATAATGGAAATGTAAAATTAGCACGGGCACGAGTTCAAAAAGAAAAATGAGCAAAGGCAGTGAACGTTCATAGCTTCGCCCGTCCATCCATCCATCCATCCATCCATCCATCCATCCATCCGTCTGTCCAGTCGAGCGGTCCCCGCTATCCGTTGCCTGTTCGCCGGCACATTTGTCTAATTAATTTGCTTTTGGCTCCCCCGCCTTTGCACTTTTTTCCTCCACTCTCCACACTTGTTTTTATTGCATTTTGTTTTCACTTACCTACCACCTCCATTTCGCCGGACACCATTGCTGTTTGAAATGTAGGCGCTTCCACGGATATTTCGCATGTAAATTTTCCCGAAATATTCAGCGGCACCGACTGCAGCACGACATGACTTTGATTCGAGAGGTTGCGCTTTTGGGTTCGCGGGGCACCAGAAGAGAAGAGCGTAATAAAAATTAGTTGAAAAATTGGCCTGCACTGCATAGAAATTGAATATAAAGCGTGGCAAGTGGCAACATGAAAAAAATGTGTGTCCATGCAAAGAAGGAAAATGAACACGCTCAAGATATTCTAAAAATTTTGCACGCGCCTTTTCAATGGGCAACTGCTCATTTGATATAAATAAAGCGAGAATAAATTCAACTGCATTTTACTTCAAATAATAATAACACCCACTATTTTCGAATTCGAATAAATTCTGACTTCTTGCAAGCTTCTATACCTTTGAAATTATGCTAATGACAGGAAATCAATTAGCGTAGACGATAGATGTTGGTAGCAGAGTTACCAAATATATGTAGTTTGAATGCGTTATGGGCTTGTTCTCCCTATTATTTCACCTTAGACTTCTTTATGGGAAATAAACACTTGGTTCAAGGTACAAATAATATATTCTTAATTGTTTATTTCAGCGTTTAAATTTAATGAAAAAATGAAAAAAAAAACAACTTCCATAACTCTGCTACAATCGATTATTCATCTTAAAGTTAGGGCATAATCTTAAATAATACCTTATTCCTATATATACACCTAATTCTGTTTTTACAAAAAAAGACACTGATCATATGCAAAAATAGGTGATTGGTTGCTTTTCTTAAAGATAAATATATACAAGTATGCAAATTTTAGTTTTCAAACTTTGTTCTATCAAAATCGTTTAAAAAAGACCGTGTAAAAACAGAATTAGATGTATATTTAATATTCTTTTCTCAAATCTCATCTTAGTTATAGGCCAACCAGTAGATCCTTCAGAGAAGTCATCATTTTGTAGAATGGATGTTTTGTATTTAATTAAAAATCAGTTGTAGACTAAATTATAATTTTCAAGCGTGTTCTATTATTTTTGTTGAAACGGCCCATCTAACAAATATGTTGGCCTTTTGTTTTAAAATTGGAAGTTGGTTTTAAATTGAAAATATCCTCTACAAGTAAATATTATTGAAGATCAGCTTTCGATTACTCAAGAGAAGGGACTGTATCTGCAGGTTGCGTATTTAACTGAGGAAACATTTCCTTTTGAAAACCAGTTATTGAAAAAATTAATATATTAAAACGTGTTCTTATTTATTTCCTTAAAGCGGTTTTTCGGTTTTTCTTTTTAAAACAGGATGTTGGTTTTAAATCTTCCAAATATTATTGAAGATCAGCTTTCGATTACTCAAGAAACCAACCGATTATAATTTCCCAGTAAAATCGTTGACTGTGCTAATAAAACAAGAATTAAATAAATAAGTGCAGGCCCACAACCAATTTATTGAAATCAACTTAAATGTTTATTTAATGGATTTTGTTGTTGTTGTTGTTGCGTTTATTACAGTAGAAATATTGTGTGCATAAATTTTAAACTGTGCATGAAAACCTCAAGCCAAATATAATTTAATAAATTACATTGAAAAAATGGCTTTAATATGCAAAAATATGACACGAGGCCAGCGAGTTTGTGGCTGCAGACCCGTTCACCCAATGTCAGCCATTTAACCCAATTTATCCGAGCGCCTAATTGGCGTCAGCGTCATAATTAAACTTTAAAACTGGCCATTGACTTAACGCGAGTATTTTCATGCAATCTGCATATATTGTTTTTAAATGAGCCGCGAGTCAATCACAACTTACTGCTACTCGGGCTAATTGGCATTCTGAACAGCCTGCTCGACTCGGTTAAGTTCAGCTCGACTCGACTCGATTCGACTCGACTCGACTCGGATCTGCTCTGTAATCACAGCATGGAAGTTGTTTGGAAAAATCATAGCTGCCACTCATGGGGTCTGTCTGGCTTTATGCAATTTGCATCAATTATGAGACATAATTTGCAGGGTGTTTGTTATTTTTATGACACGCCCACCCACCCTCTCCACACATACTTCAATTATTCAATCATTCACATCGTCACGCCGCACCACACCGCAGCACACTCACCTCCACATTGAGTCCACTTGTCATGGCGAAAACTTTCATTGCCGGATTCTCCTTTGGTGTATAGCGATAAAATTCACGCTTCCCCTTGTACCATTTCACAGAGTAGAGAGTGTCGTTTTCCATATCGTAATTACAGGTGAGCAGCGCATTACTGCCTCGCTTAACTGCCTGCGGTATCATTACGGACACATCCTTGAGGGCCACAATGAGATCTGCAAAGGACAAACAGAAACAGGATGGAGTGCATTAGTTGTGTTTGTTGTTAAAGCGTTTATGCAATTAAATACAGAGCGGATGTTAAAGGTGGCACAAATACTCCTAGCTACCTACACACTCATAAAGTCGAATTGTTTGTTCTCTGCCATCGTAAATATCGCGAGTTATCTTGCGTAATTGTGTAGCAACATTTACTTTTGTTTAATGGCAAATCGATTGACTCATTAAGCGCATTCCGATTGATATTTGCCATCAACTTCACATTGCAAACTAAATTGATTAAATGAAATGTAAATTACGGCAGAAGTATCATTAAAGCGTTGAGTAAGAAAAACCGCCCAACTCGATTATGGAATACGCTATCTGCAAAAGAAAATAAAACTTTGTTGCCCCAACTCGTATAAATTATCCGTCAACTTTGAAATGTTGAGGCATTTTACAAAATCCATGAATACAAAGTGTGGAAAAGTATTATTATTTATTATTAATTAGATTCTCAATCACCAGCTGAATTCTGTAACTTTAAGTTTCTACTACTCAGATGATAATTATCAATAGTATGAGATTTGTCAATTTAAAGACAATCTGGCAAACTGGCATGCAAGTTAATCCTGTTATTCGCCTCAATTTTAAAACTAAACTAAAAAAAAATTCAATTTGAAATTGATTTTGTGGCTGTATTAAGGAATTCTGATTGGGTATCCAATTTGTGTAATAATTGATTAAAAAACAGTTTTCTTCATACATTTCCAACGTTCCCTAATATTTAAATAATTAACACATTTGATTATTTCGCTGATAGCTATATAAACAATGTGAAACAGAAAACGCTTTGTATGGATAACTGGTATAACTGGTATCAACCAAGTTGAATATGTTTTACTCCAAGTTTCTTTTAAAGATAGAACTTATAAAATAAAGGGAAAAATTATATTATACGCGGTAGCAAGAAACTCGAAATGTCAACTTAGATTTCGTAAGCTCTAAATGTTTCATCATATATTCTAAAATGTCACAAAATAAAACAACATTTTAAGCTTCTGGTTGCAAACCATCTAGCTGTGTGGGTAGCAATCGGATAGTTGTAACTCTAGAGTATATTACTGAAATGCCACATCCATTTGAAATGTTTCAAATGGCATATCAAAGTCATATTACAGGCCACATGCTGAGCACAGGGCATAAAAATGAAAAGTGCAGCAAGAAAGGGTACAACAGAAGGTGATAGCAGGGGGAGGTTGTTGGCGTCCTGGCGGATGTGAAACGGAAAAACGAACTCACAATAGAACTTTATAACATATGATAAAGCTTGCCATGCTGGACGTCCAACTAAATGGCGAACCATTAAAACTGGACATTTGTAAACATAAACTGACAGATAAACACCCACACAGACAACTGAAATTTTACCTGGCAGCCCACACACACACACACACATACACACACACACGCACGAATAAGTTAGCTGCTTTTACAATTTTCATTGGTTTGTATTACAAACAAACAACCATACAAACAAACAGACAAACAGACGGACACACATGCACGCTTACGTATAAAAAGCCGTTAAAATACTTAACAAACGTAGATTGTAAAAGTTTTTATAACAAAATAAAATGCGATGCTAGTGGCCAACAACCCCACACCCCACACCCTACACCCTACACCCAACAATGTGCGGTTAAAGGACAATTTTACTCGTTCGCCCAGCCTTAGTCGATAACTACACACAAAATGTGTTGCATACAGCCAGGCGCAGTGCTCGAGCTGCGAGCGGTACGATTGGGTTGTTGATAGGATAGTGAGAGGGAGTGAGAGAGAGAGGGAGGGAGAGAGAGAAGCGATAAATGCACCCACATTGAAAAACAAAACGAATAATCGTTATATGGGTCAATATGAAACAAAAGCATTGTATAAAAAGTATAAAAAGGAATGAAGAAACAACGTTGAAGTTAAATTGTAAAAAAGAGCAGACAAAGTGCAAAATGAAGGAGGCAAGTGTAGTACCAGCAGAGAGTGAACTAAATACAACAACAGAGGGGAGGATAGAGAGGTTGCTTGGTCTGTGTTGTTATACGAAACGCATGCTGATGATGGTCAGCAGCAGAGCAGAGGGCAAGGACTCGCTTATCAAAGGCATGCGGCAGTGGTAGTGGATACTTCACTACTTTCCGCTTAGTTTGGCGTTGCATTTGTGGGGGTGAAGGGGAGAGAGGTTTGCCATGTTTTCGTTGCTTCTTTGTAATTTGCGCATATGCAATAGGTTTCGGGCAACATTCCGTTTTCTTCTCCTACTTGCAGCTATGTATGTATCTGCATATTGAATATGTTCAGAATCATAGTCTGGCAGAAACATCAGAAGCAGAAGAATAGGAAGGAGACGATAGCTGAGTAACAAAACATGACTTCCATGTGTGCTGTACTAATTGAAATTAGCAACAAAGTGGTAGAAAGTCATCAATTTTCAAGAAAAAAACTTAATTCTTACTTGCAAGTCGAATATCACTAAAGAAAAAATTTTATGCAAAAATCGAATAAACAAATATTTTTATATACTTGTTAAAATATATTTGATTGTGCCAATAATCAGAGATGGAAAACAAAAACTTCAAAAGCATAAATATAAATTAATAAATATAATAAATATAAATAATATAAATAAATATATATAATACATAAATATTTTATTAATTCTTAAAGACAGCGCTCAACATATAAAAATCCGAGTGTAGTAAGGCGATGAGTGAATTATTTTCAATTTCCAAAGTCAGTTTGCTCAACAAATAGTTTGTTTAATTAAATTCTTTTGCTCTCCTTAAATTAGAAATTTAACTTGGCATTTTAAGAAAATAGTTTAAAGGCATTTTTAATACTGTGCCAACGATTGTGATTCCTCACTCAACAAAATTGATTGCATTGTGGCCCATCATTGCCTATTAAAATGCTAAGTTAAATATATAAAATTCCTGCCAGATCCTCATACTAATCCCCATATCCTCCTCATCATCCTCACATCGACATCGAATGTGCAGTGAAAAGTTTCATCCGCAAGCATATCGAGGCGCACATTTTATCTCTTTGTGCTGAACTGGTCAGGGCCATTCAGTCCAAGTTTTGTGCTAACTTGCACATTTAAGCTTTTAAACGGATTTTAATTAGTTAGTTATTTATATTGGAAAATCTTTTTGCATTTTTGGTCGTTGGCATTTTAGTTTTTGGCCAGAGATGCGTTCAGTCTAGTTCAATGCTTTTACTTTCTGCACAAAAGTTTGTAATTTTTTGGCAGCAAAATTAATGTTGCATTTGGGGGCCAACAAAAATGTACATTTCGTTTATTTCGAAAAAATAAATAAAAAAAAAACATAAAAAAAATAAAATTAAATCAAGCAGCAAAAACTTTAGTTGGGATATATTCAATTTTGCACATAAATACTGTGATTAGTTTTTATTTGTTTTATTCTGTTGGCTGTAAATTTGTTGCCAGTTTGTTGGGTCATTTATAATGGTTGGGTGACAAAAAGTTTTTTTGTGTGTGTGTATCTGTATTCAAGGTAAGTGCATGGCATTTATGTAACAGCATATGTGCGCTTTAGAAACTCGCTGCCAGATTTATGCATTTCGCACTTGACTAAGTGAAAATAAAAAGGGCCATTTTCATTCTCTACCAAAGTTGGTAATTTATTTTCGCATAGCAATGAATTCGCGCACTCCCGTGTGTGCAGGCAATAACAAAACTTTCCAGACAGCCGCAAGCAATTTACTTAAAAAATGCATTGAGCGGTAATTTTTCTTGACACACTCGTACTTGTATTAAGTTCTATTAGCCGCTAATCAAAAGTTAAGCAGAAAAACAAACATACTCGCACTACACCCAAATATTGTATATAAACAGATCCAGTTCCACAGACAGTTGGAGCGACGTTCAATAACCTGAAAGTGTTGCTCGGAGCTTAAAAACGCAGACACAATACAAACAGAAAACAAAAGTCGACTAAAGAAGACAACAAGACAAAAGCGCAACTAACGTGACGGCTATAGCCATAGCCTCGAGACCCGCACCACCTAACGCGTGGCCAAAACTTATGCACAGAAGCCACAAAAAGACGGCCAAGGTGACAAACACCCGGCCAGACGCTATCTCAGCCCCTCAAAAAACAAAAGAAATAAAAAATAACAAACATGAAAGAAGCAGCCAGCCAGCCAGCCAAACCGCTGACTGACTGGCGTTCTGTCAGCGCCTCAGCGTCAGCGTCAGCCTCATTCTCTCATGCAGCCATTTCCACTTTGGAATTTCAATAAGGCCAACAGAGCAAAAATGCCGCAGGTGGTAGGCATACGGCATAAGGAATCAAGACAAAAGTAAAGACAAAAGTAAAAACGCAAACACCAGCATCAAGTAAATACATAAATTAAAAGTGTAACTGTTTAAGGTGCAATTTTTGGGGGCTTCAACGCAAATATTTAAATGTGTATATATTGCACAAACATATTAGTTATGGGAACAAAACACACAGACAGTGCGAGCTGAATATAATAATGAGAGCTATGTAACGATGTAGGGGGAATTGAAAAATGACTTATGTCCGAACTAAGATGTTAAATACGGGGTGATAAGCACCACAAAAAGCTATGATATATACCTTTGGATACCTGATTGCATATTAATTGTAAGTCCAAAAGGTTAATAGAACTTTAACAAATTATAAAAAACAATAAAATACGAAAATCATTTTATTTTATTCAAAACAAGTATACAGTTTTTCTTGTATTCTTTATGAGAGTATACAAACTAACTTTGAAGTTAATCGGATGAAAATTGTAGATTTTTCATACAAACGTTGGAGCCCGTTTTCCCCCCTTTGGAGCTCGAATTTTCCGAAATCCAAGAACCCTTTATTGAGTTTAAAAACGAACTTAATTTTTGCTCTTTGTTAAATGCTAACTTTTGTATCGATGTACAGATAGCTCCGCTTCCAGTGGAGCAATTGTCATGAAA